CTGAAGTGCAGGAATGTTATTTCTCTACCAGCAGCTTAGACTAAAAATAGATTCTGAATTTAAAAAACAATGATTAAGATGAAATTATTTGTCCAGGAGAACTTGAGTCAGCTTTTTAATCTTAAAAAGAGTTTTGCATGTATGTAGTGATGCATTAGTATAATACAGTGCATTAGTATAATACGTGCCTGGCTGAGGAATTCTGGGAGTTGAAGTCCATGAGTCATAAAAGGGCCAAGTTTAAAGACCCCTGGTATAATAGATTCAGTAGAGATTCTTATCAAGAGAACAGTAGTTGTCCAGATGCTGAAGAGATTTATTTATCCATTCCATTTATAAGGCTGCTCGTCTCAAACAAGTGACTTTGGGTAGATAACAATTAAAACCCAGCATAAAACAACAAAAACGGAAATAATATGCAGCCAGAAGCTGAGCTCTTTCTAAAAATCCCAATACAAATATTTCAATAACACTAATTCACAGGCTCCAACAGACACTCTGACTCCAAGAGCAGGAATAAATCCACAACTGCAGGGGCCAGAAAAGGTTAACTTAGCTGCCAACCTCATTTCTGGGGGAAGGATGTTCCATAGGGCAGGTAGAAGGATAGAAAAAAAACTCTCTTTCCAGGTCTTGCCAGGTGACAACTTTAATCCAACCCCCCCCCATCCAGACAGAGACAGATCCTGTACCACTTCACTTGAACAGCCTGGGGTGGAGATATAAAGTTGGGCATTATTGAAATATTGATGAAATCTCATTCCATACTATTGGATTATCTCATCTAGCAACTTCATGCAGATGTTACACCGGAGTAGAGAGTATTGAACCCTACAGCACTCAGCAAAACCACAGCCACTAGCAAGACCTTTATCCCGGTATCAACACTGTCTGAAATAATTGCTAAAGGGAAGAGAACTAGCTCTACATAATGCTGCTGGCTCTGAATCCCTGAAAGTTCCAAAAGATACTATGATCAACAGAGCCAAGACCAGCTAAGGGATCAAGGAGAGCAAGGATGTGTGCAATATCCCACTCCTGTCAGAGATCATCTACAAGTGCAATCAATGATGCTTTGGTCCCATGCTTAGATTTGAAACTGATTGGAAGAGGTCCAGATAATCTGCCTGATCCCCAGTAGTTTGGATTTGCTGCATGATTTTCTCATCAATCTTCCCTAAAAAGATGCTGCTTTCAATCCAAGACGCAGCCTACAGCAATACATGGCCATGGAGTGTGAGTTCATTTATTATCAACAACATTTGGAAGTTGAACTAGGGCAGGCATGTGAAACTGCCGGCCCACGGGCCGGATGCATCACCCACCTCATTGCCGGCAATGGAGAAAAAGTCGTGATACATCGCATGACGTCACGTGACGTCGCGAGTTTGACATGCCTGAACTAGGGTAAGGGAAGGCAACTCTTGGACCAAAGGGTATATCTGAAATTTTGAGAGCATTTTTATAGGCACTTCCAGTTCAATCACTCAAAATAGCTGTCAAAATGAGGCTTTGTAGACAGTTAGGAAGATGACCTTGATAAAGATATGCAAGATCTAGTGAAGGGTGAACAGTATATGAAGTTCACAATAGACTCAGTTCAGATAACAATCAGAAATGATTCAGACAGACACCTTCCTAATTCACTGGAGGAAGAAATACTGCACAATCAAACCTGCAAGTTTCTGTTTCTATAACCAATAAGTATCTGTGGGGATTTTCAGTCATCCAGGTCACAATTCTCTCAAAGGTGCTTTTTCAAAATAAAATAAAATAAAATAAATAAAAGTTATTTTAGCCTTCCTGTGGAATTGGTGTGGTCTACCTACTGAGGCTTCATTTTTCGTTGTTGAACTCAAGGTTCCCAGCCTTCAGTTTATTTCCTTCTACATGCACACAACACATAGTAGAATGAAGACTAAAAAGGACTGTAGTATTTTCATGAAACAGTAAGCATTGATTTCCTTCTTCCTTGTTTCATGCTACTCTCTCTCCCTCCCTCCCTCCATGTGTGTGTGCGCGCGCGCGCATGCGCACGCATACACACACACGCCTGACAGTTTTCCAGAAAGGATTAAATTCTGGAAAACAGGGACAATATTTCCAGGTTAATGTTAACTTCTGAAAAACAACCACAATACTTCCAAAGCAATGTAGTCTGGAAAAGAAATAGACTGTTTTATTCTCACAACAAGTTTTCTAACATTCCTCATTTCAATCTTAAAATGTTTGCATATATTTCTCCCTAAGCAACATTCTGCCTTTCCTAATAGAGAATTTAACTCTTCTAAAACTGACAGAAGAACATATTCCTTAAAGTAAAAACTAATAATCAGGATTCTTTTGTCATGCATCAAGGCCACACTCTCTATTCATTATGCATAGACTGAATTTTCTGGTTTAATTGTTTCTCAAGACTTACTGATAAAGTATAGTAATAAGCTGCTTATATGAATATGAGGGAAACAGATGTATGGTTTGGAAGTAGTACATTCAAGGTCTTTACCTAATTAAACTTTAATATTTAATTTTCATATTCACAAAAATGAAACGAAATGTTTGAATTTTGGGCGCTTCAGAACTTCAAAAAAGAAATATAAATAAATATAATTCTAATGAGTGAAGAGATCCCATGGCATTTTCAACTCCTATGGGCTTATTGCCATGTCCTCTATCAGTCTCTTACAAGAACTGCACTACAGGTACAAAAAAATTTTAAAAGTAGGTCTCCTTAGATCATAATAAATCTATTTCTAAAGAAACAGATTTGTATTTGACACTTTAAGTATAAGGAATGTTCCTAGGAGATGTAGACTATATTGCCAAAATGCTAAGCTCTATTGTGAAGTGACAATGGTTAATTGCTAGCGCAGAGGAATTTGTGATCTACACTAATCAGGCTGGCCAAGAAATCATATCAATTTTAACTGGTTCAGGGAATTTTATTTTTATTGGGAAAAATCTATTAGCTATGTCATCAAAAGAACTGCCATGGCTGTGATCCAAAGTTAGACTGAATGATTTTCTACAGATCACAGATAAATCACGATGAAGACTGCAAACAATGATCCAAAAGCCATCTTGTCTTTTACTGTTCCAATTTCAATCAGCTTTTTTTTGTTCAGTCTTTCCATTTTTGCCCATGTATTTTTCATATCTTGCCTGACCCTAGAAATCTCCAAAATGTGATTTTTTTTTCTTGAGATACATTGTCTTAATAAGGATTTGGAATTTTCTTTATTCTATTTTCTTAATAAATTTGTAACCTGCTTTTCTGTATCTAGCAACACCCAAGATGACTTACAACATTAAAAATGTGTTTAAAAGATAAAACCGATGCAATTGAACTAAAAAAAATTGATAACACTATTATTAAACTCTTGGGAAAAGAGATTTTTTGTTATTTTGCTAAACACTTGGAAACAGGACCCAATCTGGCTCCTTGAGAGTTGCAAGCCATTTCCTGAGAATCGCATCAGATTCCCCTGTAGCCAACAGTCAAGCTTCTGGCAAGACTAGCATCTTTGGAAGGACCTATCTTGGTAATGTATGCAACTAGGCAGTTCATAATAGGAAAAGCAGATTCTCTATCAGGCCCTCTGTCATTGGAAGCTTTCACTGCCACCACCAATCAGTTTAACAGCCAGGCAACTGTAGCCCACACTGTTCCTTAGTGTGAGCAAAAGTGTTATCCCTCTACTTTGTGCCAACCATCAGGCTAATTGCCAGATTTTGCATGTAAGGATTGCTTACCATTGTATATAATAAGATTTATACAGCAGTACATAATATTCACATTTTATTTTGTTTTTCAATTTTTAGATCTCCTATAGTAGGAAAAGGGAATCAGACAATGTAGCAACTTTGCCTCCCACAATCTTGTTCAGCCAGATTCTCTGGGTTATCTCCAATGGCATTATTTTACTAACACTACCCTTCTACCGCTTACAGAAGCAAGAGCAAATATCAGGCCTTTTCAGGCAACAGAACCTGTTGGCTAAATAATAATAATTCCCCAATGAAGCACTACCTTGGTCTGGTTGTAGGGCTTGCATGCTCTGAGGAGGATGAGAGTTATTTCAGAAGTTCAATCATACTGGGCAAATCTTATCAGAGGAGCCAGAGACAAATGCCTCTTCCATAAACAAGGAAACTTCTCAAATAGCAAAATAAAAGATCAGCTCCTAATTGACAAGATGATTTTGGAAAATCTGCAGGAGAAGGAAGACCAACTTGAATATAGTTTGGATTGATTACAAAAGGTATTCAACTCCCTACCGTGTGATTGGACAATCAAATGCCTAGAAATAACAGAAACATCAAAAGCTTTGTGCAAAGATCAATGGCACAATGGAAGACACAGTTGCTGGTCAATGGTGATAGACTGGGAGAGATAAATATGAATAGAAAAATCTTCCAAGGAGACTCACTATTACCAATACTGTTTGACATTGTACTGATTCCTCTATCAACTCCACTGAACAAGTCTGGCTGTGATTATCAAACATCAAAAAATCTTGCAAGCTATCCCATCTCTATTGCATGGATGATCTGAAGCTATATGGAAAAATATCATCTGAAAGAGATTCACTGCTTAACACTGTCCATATATAAAACCAGGATATTGCAATGGAATTTGGACTGGAAATAGTGAAAACTGAAAGAATCAAGATGACCTGAGGAAATAACACCAAGATGAAAATCACTACCAATACCTGGGCTTCCTACAAGCTAATAACATGAAGCACACTGAGGTCAAGGAGAAGATTTAGTAGTGAAGATCTTCATCGTGAAAGTGAAGAAGATCTTAAAGTCCAAACTCAATGGAGAAAACGCCATCAAAGCAATTAACAACTCTGTAATTCCATCATTAAATACACAAATGGAATAGTGGACTGGACTCAAGCAGAACTAGAAGACCTGAAAAATAATAACAATAACTGCTCTAAAGTCACCCAGCAAGCTTTCATGCCTAAAGCAGGACTAGAACTCAAGTCTTCTGATTTTTTTAAATAAAGATTTTATTGATTTTCTTTTATATATATGTGTTAATTTTTCAGCCAACGAGCAGTCTAGGCTCAGCTATGCTAATACATATTCAATTCCTAATCCTTCATTCTTTCCTCTAGCCAACAATAAAATAAGTTCCAAGTTTGATAGTAATCTGTATCTTCTTTATCTTTCAATCTCATGGTTAATCTGTCCATCTCTGCGCATTCCAATATTTTTCTGATTATTTCTTCCTCTGATTCGTTCTTCCAATATTGTGCAAAGATTATTCTCGTGCTGTGGTGACCTGTAAAATCAAATATAGACTTTGCTTATTAATCTTTTCAGGCATTATACCTAGTAAGAAAATTTCAGGTTTAAAATCAACATGTTCACTTAATATTTTTTCTAATCAAGCATGTATCTTTTTCCAATAAGCCTTTGCTTTGCCACATGTCCACCAAATATGATAGTACATGCCTGAATTGTGCTTACATTTCCAACATCTATCTGACATATTTTTTAAACATTTTTGCTAATCTTGCTGGCGGCAAGCGCCATCTATAAAACATTTTATATAAGTTTTCTTTATATGAAGTTGACATTGTTAATTTGTAATTTCTCTCCCATAGCTTTTGCCACTTTTCTAGTTCTATATTGTAGCCAAAGTTTTTTGCCCATCTTATCATTGTTTCTTTAACTTGTTCACTTTCCATTTCCAAAATTAACAAAAAAATATACATTTTCTTAATCAATTTCTCATCTGAAGTTAACAAAATCTTATCAAATACAGTTTGATCTTTATAGAATCCATACATTTTCACGTCTTTTTCATATCTATTTTGCATCTATAAATATGCCCACAACAGGTTGATCCCTGATTTTTCAGTTCTTGCTTAGATTTTAAATTCCCATCAATATTTAGAATATCTCTATATGCCCATATTTTTTCAAAATCTACCAAGTTCAGATGTATAAATGCCTCCATTGTTGATAGCCACCCTGGAATTTTAAAGTATATTTTACCTTTGATTTTTTCCCATACTATTAACAAGGCATTTCTTATATAATGGTTTTGGAAATACTTATGAGCTCTATTTTTTCCATACCATAAGAAAGCATGCCAACCCAGTTTAAATCATGCCCCTCTAAATATAACAATCTTTTATTTCTAAGCATTATCCATTCTTTCACCCATGTTAAGACAGATGCTTGATAATACAATGCCCATTCCGCAACCCAAATCCTCCATTTTCCTTCTTATAATGTTTTCATCTTAATTCTAGCTTTCTTTCCCTGCCAAACAAAGTTCAAAATTAATGAATTTAAATCTTGGAAGATGTCTTCTGATTTTTTAGGCCACCACCTTCACCACTACATCAAACTGGTTCTGACTTCTATGGCACCATTTTTTTAGGCTGATCTGTTGATAGTACCTCACAGGAAAGAAAGCAATTCCTTTCCAGGAATAAAAATTTGGGAGGACATAGTAATGAGGGAGCTGTCTGATGGGAGGGTGTGGTAGTCTGTTTTTTGTTTGTTTGAACTGCGTATCTTGTAAGCTGTTGCAAAAATTTCTCAGTCCAGAAAAGATATTCTTCAATCCATTTAGAGTTGAGCTGGCATGAGCATAGGGAAGGAACAGCTTCAGTGTTTAGTGAATATATGCCCTACATCCCACTTTAAATATCTTAAAAGTAGAGTGATACACAACAAAACTAACCTTCATATACATTGTCATATGAGAACTTGAGAGGCGACTGTATTAGTTTGTCACATAGCCGTGTTTCCCTGAAAATAAGACCGGGTCTTATATTTTTGTGGACCAAAAGATCCACTAGGGCTTATTTCCAAGGGTTGTCTGACTTGGCGGCCGCCCATCCACTCCATCCCACTGTTTGGTTGCTTGTGGTTATACCAGTGTCACCACGAAATGAAGTGAGGCAGGTGGGGCTGGAGCTGCTGCACACGCCCCACACCTGCTTAACTCTGCAGCCAGGCCACTCCCCACTCAGTGATCTCCGACTGCCATTCAATGACCTGGCTGCCCACCCACCTCTTCCCTTTCACTCCCCTCCTTAGCTGGAATGCCATGCTATGGAGGATGGCAGGGGAGGCTCGGTCGCCTTACCCAGTCCCCCTCCACCATTTCGGAGGGGGGAGTGATGGCGAAAGGCCTCCACCACTGCTGCGCATCAACTGTGTCTACCGCTGGAGGGGTTTTCTTCGGTCCTCATCGGCCCCACCCCACAGATCAACTGCCTGGTGGTAGTCACCACCTGCTGCTTGGTCCTGCAGCGCTACATCGCATTGCCTACTGCCCATTTGCCACCTGTATTTTATGGTTTCAATGGTATCAGCTCTGAAGACTGGTGGTAGGCTCTCTGCATCATTTCTGAGTTTCAACCACTGGCCACCTTCGCAGCTCTGCCCATACAGCCATGGGAGAGGTATACCAGGGTTGGCAGCAGGGGCGCTCTGAAGACCGTGCTGCCATGACTACATTGGCCAACTCTCCCGTGGCTGTGTGGTAGCGCCATCCCATCTGCCTCGCCTTAATTTGTTGCGGCAGCAAGCAACCAGATGGTGAAATGGAGGGAGTGGGTTCTTAACTAAGGCTTATGTAGCGGGACTGGCTGAAAGGCTTTATGGGAGTCTGACTGGAGGGAGGAAAGAGCAATGCTCGAGCAGCTGTGGCCGGTTTGGGCACGGCGGGCATGGACCGCGGGGAAGAAAAGGGGGAAGTAGAAAGGGGGGGTGGGGTGGGGTGAAGCAAAAGAGGAGTTTGGGGTTTTATAAGTTCCCTTTCCTCTGAAATGGAGGGATAGGGAGAGAGCATGAGTGGAGTGGAGTTTTATTGCTTTCCTCTGCAGAGGGAATATTCTGAGCGAAGGGAAGAGCGAGAGTGAGAAGAGGGAAAGTTTGCTGGGGTTTTAAACTTAGGTTTTAACTAGAAGGGAAAGGGGAGGGGGGATTTGGGATAGAGAGGCCTGGGGTGACAAGTGCTGACAGAAGAAAAGGAACTGCTGGTTGTTACTGCTTCAGAGACCAGCGGCCATCCAAACTTTAGTTATTATCACTTCTGCAAGCTGAAGACATTGTGGGGAGTTGCCCTCGTGGGGCGAGCTGTTGCCATGGGGCGCTGACTATCTTCGCTGACTATCTTCGCTAGTGCTTCCTGCTGCTGCCTGGAGCTGAAGGGTTCCCCCCCTTCTTCGCTTTCCAAGAGGCTGCTGGAAGTCATCGATTACTGTCCCCATGACTGCCAGGGTCTGATAAACACTGTTGCACACTGACTGTCACAGCTAAGGGGCAGCCATCATTGTTCCTGCAAACTCTGCTGACAACGAGAACCTGCCTCCCCTCCACTTCACATGAGCTCCCGCTAAAAGGGACATTCCACTGCCTTGATAGCATGGTTGCCGAGTGCCGACAAGAGAGAAGAGGGGGGGGGGCTAGGAGGGCCTGGGTAACACTACTTATTTTGGGGATACGGCTTATATTAGGCACACACTAAATATCATGCTAGGGCTTATTTTCTGGGTGGGTCTTATTTTCGGGGAAATATGGTATGAGTGAGAATGGAAATTGAAGTTATTCTATAAAAAAAATCAGAAGGTTAGTGTAGTGGTTAGGGCACCAGGCTATAAAAAGGGAGACTATCAATTCTAGTCCTGCTTCAGGCCTGAATCTAAATGGAACCTTTGGCCAGTCCTTCTTTCTCAGCCCTAGGAAGGCAAGGCAGATCAGTTCCAAAATCTTGTCAAGAAAACAGCAGGGACTTGTCCAGGCAGATACACAAGCACAAAAGCCAAAAATCAAATTAGTTATTTATATAGCTTAAGAATAAAAACTCTTGATTGTTCCCCTTACTTTGTTTTACCGCTATGAGTCATGGGAAGGATAATAAATAATTATATTAGTAGGGTAGTGTGTGTTTATATATATACCTTTTTACTTTAGGTATGTGGTATGTGACCAATTAACTTGGCATTCCTTTTCTTATAGTCAGAGCAACACCTCTTCTGCATGACCCATTTTAGTGATTAATCTCACAGCATCTGTTTGCTTTGAATAAACAGCATGTTTTTATTTTCCATTAAAAATAATTTTGCAAATAATTCATCTGAATTATTGGTGTTTTTTTAAAAAAGGAACTTTTGTTTGCAGAGCATTATTTAGAAGAAAACAATGTAAAGATTTTACACAAAATATACTATTACATTACAAAATTACTGTACTGACTTAGGAAATTATGAAACATCTCTTGTTTACAAATCGAGAAGATTTCTTTACTACAGCATGTCTCAATCGGATGATTCCACTAGACCAAGGGTAGGCAACCTTGGCTCTTTTATGACTCGTGGCTGGCTCAGGAATTCTGGGAGTTGAAGTCCACGAGTCATAAAAGAGCCAAGGTTGCCTACCCCTGCACTAGATGGTTCTTACTTTACTGAACTGATAAGACAATGTAGTCTTTCTTTTCATACAAAGCTTACTCATATCAGGAATCATGTCAGTATCAGGAGTTGGCAGCCTCTCGGGGTAAACCATACAAGAATCACAACCAGATGAGCTAATTCTACTTTACTATAAGGTTACACTGATTGAATGTTGCAAGTTTGAAAGATCAATCCCTCCCCACCATCTCCTTTGCAGCCTGAGAAACTAGGGAAAGTCTCTTCTCAGCCTCTTGCCCCACCCACTATCTAGTTCAGGGGTAGGCAACCTTGGCTCTTTTATGACTCGTGGACTTCAACTCCCAGAATTCCTGAGCCAGCCATGCTGAGGGAAAAGGGAGAGGTTTCCAAGCTGAGCCACGCTGGCTCAGGAATTCTGGGAGTTGAAGTCCACGAGTAATAAAAGAGCTGAGGTTGCCTACCCCTGATCTAGTTGCAGGCTTTGCTGCCCTTTCATATGACTACAGGTAGTCCTCGACTTACAACAGTTCACTTAGGGACCATTCAAAGTTACAACGGCACTGGAAAACGGCACTTATGACCGTTTTTCACAAGGGTGTTGCAGCATCCCCATGATCATGGGATCAAAATTCAGATGCTTGGCAATCAACTCATATTTATGATGTGTCCCGGGGTCATCTGATCCCCCCTTTGCGACCTTCTGATGAACAAAGTCAATGGGGAAGCCAGATTCATTTAACAACTGTGTTAAACAGCAGCAGTGTTTCACTTAATGATGGCAAGAAAGTTGTGGAATGGGGCAAAACTCCCTTAACAAATGTTTTGCTTAGCAACAGAAATTTTTGGCTGAGTTGTGGTTGTAAGTCAAGGACTACTTGTATTCCCTTGGCAGTGTCTCTTTGCTCTTTGTCTCTCTTCCAAGATCTTTCCCACGTACCATTACAGGATTGACCATTTTTCATTCATCATTATATTCAATAGCGCAAGGAAAGATTTATTACTGTTTGTAAATTCTATTCCACCTCATGTAACTATAGATGTGAAGATTCTAGTTTGACTCCCAAGGAATTTAATTGAGTCTCAATGGGGTTTTATAATCTTCTCATTAGCATAGTGTCTTAATGTCTGCCATTAGCACTTTAAGCAACATTAGCATACTATATATACACTTTCCTCCCCAATGGAGTGAAATTAGGACTACTGGCTAAGTGTCCTAATTCTATAACTGCAAATGTTTATGCATATGAACTTATACAGAATGTGACAAAATGGGTTTGTTCATAAAAAAGTAGTTCTTACTTCTATGTCACTTTTTGTATCTTTCTCTCATATATGGATTTGTTCAGCAGCAACAGGTGCGGTGAAAACTAATTTTCCAATACAGCCATTAATGTTCATTGACTTTCAAAACCAAAGGTTGGCATTTTGCATACGGTATTCACATAATTTAAGAAGCAAGGGTGGGCAATGATATGTTCACAAAGAAAAAAATTCTCAGTTCATATTTAGTTTTTTGTGAATTTGGAAATAATTTGGTTCTAGGGGCAATCAGAAAGCTAGTAAGTGGGAAGAATTAAACTGGAAATGCAGTGAAGGATGGATTATGTATTAGTGGTCTTTTAAGATTAACAATTCAATAATTGTTTAAAACAGTATAGTATAATCACATCAAACTTGGCCAGCTTTTGTATTTATCAATGTAGTATGCCCAAAATCCAGCAATTGCTGTTATAGAAAAGTATTGGAGGTTAGCCAAATAAGTAGCAATAAACAGCACAACCAAAAAACGACCAAGACCATTCCCACTAACCCTGACAGGGCAAGCCATTAAAATATAAAATGAGAGCAAACCCCACTCCTTACTAGCACTGATGATGTTACCTAGTTCGATAATGAAACGCCTGCAAGAAAATCACCAAGCTGAGACTACCAAGGACCCCACAATTTAATCCCGAGCTGCAAATATTCTCTTATATTGATGGAAATAAATAGCATTGTAAATAGTATTCAATGTTACTAGATATTAGGGCAGGGAAGGCTGTTCAGGTGAACTGAGGCTTATGACAGTGAAGCTGCAATCAGTGCCATGCTTAACATTTTAGAACAAGCAGAGCATCTGAGCATTCTCAAATGCACATTCCTCAACACACGAACAGATCCACCATACCGCTTACAAAAAACAATCAAGTGAACTTGAGTCTCTGCATCGGGCTTTAAAAATCAACAGCTTCTGATTTCTCTTCACCCATCTTTTATCAACCCTTTGCGATTATTACATAGACGTACACGAGTCTAGCACACCACCGTGGGCTGAACGCCTTCCTTCCTAAGTCACCGTGAAAACATTGCTCCCGCCGCCCGTCTTGTCGGTCCAGCTTTCCTTCCACCAGTAGGTGTTGCCCTGATACCAGACTCAAGATTGTACTTGACAAACAACCGCATATCCGAAATCCGAATCTACCGAACCACCACGGTCAGATTCGTTTCCTGCAATAGGTTACATCCAATTTTTACCGTCGAACGCCCTCAATGGTCTATCAAGACCCTTCGTTGTTCTCCAGTCTTTGGGGCTCCGGCGAAAGACGGTGGTTCCCATCCCCACGGCTCCCTTTGTTCTCAGCACAAGCTTTGCTGTCTGACAAAGAGACTAACGAGCATGGCGTTTCAGAGAGACCACAAGGTATTTCGGACTGGACGTCATCGCAAAAGATAGACGACCTAATTTCACCCCGCTGCTAACCCCCTCCCAGATCGGCGAAATTTCGCCTTTCACTATAGTTGACTGTAACTATTAAGGGCTATTGTTCTCTCTTCTCTTCAGCATCCCCCCCTTCTCTTCCAATGCCTTTTAGTTTCGGACGACAATACGAGTTTGTGAATCGCCAGCCGGACGGGAAAGGCAGAGGCATCCCTGCCTGCTGCTGGCCGCGGAATGCGGGTACCGTGCAACTCCCGCGCCGGGCAGCCAGGTGCCCCGGAGCACGTGCTCTCCCGCCTACATGCCCCGCCCTCCATGTTGGCAATTCTCTATGGCGGGACCGGGTTGGGCCGGCCGGGGCGGAGAGTCACATGAGCGGCTGCCTGAGCTTGTCCTGCTCGGTTGGAAAAAAAGCCTCGGCGGGGCCTGGCCTGGGCGAGGCTTCCCATGGCCGCGAATTTCCCCCTCCTCCACCCTTCCCCTCCCAGCTAGCCACAGGTTTGAGGGAGCAGCGGCGGAGCGACCACCTGTGAGGAGCATGCGCGCAGCGAAGGTAACCTCCCTCCAGTCCCTCGTTGGAGCTTCCACAGCTCTGTCGGCGGGGTTTTCTTCCCCCTCACCCGCAAACGTTGCTGCCATGAGGACCGTGCGCGAATGAATGGGTCGTTCTGGATTGAAAGAGGGCTGTATTAGCCTCTAGCCAGCCCCGCTTCTGGAATAATTTACCTCTTTGGCCAGTTCAGAGTTAGAACGGCTTTAACCAATAGTTGCCCAGAAGGGAAGATTCAATCAATTGCCCTAAATAGGAAAATGGCCTTGAGGAAAACCCTCATTTCTGCATCACTATCAGAGAGACGATGGTCCAAGGGAGACGAATGGGACTGTAAATTGCCACCTATCTGTTTGTTTGCTAGAAGGGATGGGGGTCAAAGATGCTGTAGAAGAGCGGATGGACTGACTTGTTGGATTTCTTTCTTTCCGTAAAGGGGAGATATTCTGCCTCAGATGAGGAAGCAACTGCTATTTTTGTGTGTTTGAAAAATACGCTATCCATTGTTTTGCCAATCCAGGTAGTTAGCTTTTGTTTTTTAACATTTAATGAGTACCTTTAATATATAAATTCTAACAATAATTTTTTTCAAAAACTTGCTCTGACCGTAAAATCACATCTTGGGTTCATGGCCAATATGAGTTGGCAGACTCATGGTTGAAAGGGAGTCTCAAAATGTCTTACAGTTAGTCCTCAGCTTATGATCATTTGTTTAATAACTTCAAAGTTACGATTGCACTGAAGAAAGTGACTTACAACTGGCCCTGCACTTTGACTATCACATGATCAGAATTTGGGCTCTTGCCAACATATATTTACAATGGTTATAGTGTCCTAGGATCATGTGTTTACCATTTGTGAGCTTCCCAGAAAGCAAAGTCAAGGGGGGAGGGGGATTTGCTTAATGACTGTGGCAAAAAGGACATAAAATTGGATGCAAGTTACTTAATGATTGCATTGTTTAGTCATGGAAATTCCGGTCCCAATTTGTAAGTCAAGGACAACCTGTATTATCAGGCTATAGCCCTGCAATTTAATTGTGCAGGTGCAAAACTTGTCAAAAGATATGAGTCAAAGAAGGATTGTGGGGGTGTTTCCATGAATTGTGGTATGGGAAGTCTTTCTTTGCCTTTGTTGTCGTTTTATAATGTTTGTAATGGCCATGAGGCCTTTTCAATATTATTGAAGTAATTTTGAACTACATCTACCACCAAAATGGGGAATGTCTTAAAATAATTTTTATTTGCTAGGATTTTTAATTTAGAATCACACTGATTGAAATGGGACCTCGTATTGTTACCAATTTTAATTTTGTTTTGATGAAAAATTACCAGTTTAGTTGCTAATCATATGCTTCTGAGTGATCAGTATTATATACACCTTGTCTTTATATGCTAGTTACTTAGAGCAGCTACAAAATAGTCTGTCAGTATATAGCTATTATACAAGATGTTAAATACAATGATTTATTTCATTAATTTAGTTCCTGCAAACACTAGAAGCAATTTCATTTGTGTAAACTTTGCTTATGGGGATGATTTACCAGTTCTTAATGCAAGCCTACATAATTATTCCTAGCTGGGTGGCTGAATATGGGTTAAATGAACCTTCTTACAAAAGTTAAGGTTTTTATTTCAAACATAAGAAAATATGATTTTAAGTGATCAGTGCTTTTTTTAGTAGCCAGGACTGCTACTTTTTTCCATCAAGCAAGTGTACAATTTCAGAAATTCTTTGTTACAACATTTCTTACTATAACTGTATAACAAGCTTTTGGCTTGAAGGCAAGAAGATGTTTCTGAGACCATGGAGACATGAATGTAGTCCCTATTTACACCTTATTAAACCAAATGTGTGCTTTCTTGGGATCACACAATACCTACAGAAGATAGTCACTGAATCCTGAGAAAAGATGCAGCTGCTTTAAAGAGAACAGATAGGTGTTACGTTCAAGCAGCCTCCAGGCTCCAAAGCACTTTTTTGTCTTCAGATCTAAAGCCTTCAACATCCCAGTTTCTTACATGAAACAGAATATTTGTCAGTGCTTAATATGTTAAATTGCTTAATGTTATATGATTTTTAGAGGCACAGGAACCATGAAAATATGATAAATATCTGTAAATCATAATGCTGCACTCCTGGTATATTGTATCACAAGATTATTGAGTGAATTATGTTCCTTACCATGTTATAAATTCTGTGCCATAGCATAAAATCACGAAAGAAGGGGTGTAGGTAAATAGTCCAATCTGTACCTTACAGTTAACATTTCTTTTTTAAAGGAGGATGTTCTGTGAAATCCTAGGAAATGGATCTAGTCTGTTTGAAATGTTTGCTTCGACAGCTTAATGGAAGAGTCTTCCTGAAGATTGTGGCAGCAGTTTTTTTAAAATTTTGAACTTCTACCTGCTATGGAACAAAGTGAGAATCAACAAGGATCCTCATCAGAGATTCAAGATGACAGCAAAAGCAACACAAGACTTTTGCCTAGCCTGGCTGCTGCTGTCAAAGGGGAAATAAAGAAATATGCAGTTACAGATGACTATAAAATCTCTAAACGGGTTTTGGGCCTTGGTATTAATGGAAAAGTATTGGAATGTTTTCACAAAGTGACAGGACGGAAATGTGCTTTAAAGGTATGTAGCAGATGATTCATCCTGATTTAGCTGTTAATGTTCCTTATTTGATTTCTAGGCTAAAAGCAGTTGTTGAGGCTTGGGTAATAAAGTATTCTTATTAGAAATTCTAAATTGCATATCGAGTAGCCTTTCCCAACCTTGTGCTCTCCAGAGGTGTTAGAATTCACAACCATCACAGCCATAATTCACAGCCAGCAGAGTCAAAGGTTATATTAGCTGGGGATGTGGATTGATAGCAAACCAACAAATATTCAGATTGCAGAATTCCTTTTTTAAAATTTAACACTAAGCCCTAAGATATTGTTTGTACACACTAAAACAAATGATGTTTGTTGCTTGAAGAATATTTTTTCTGTCACTAGTTAATATTGTGATAATTAAAATGTCAATAATTTTCTGTTGAGGAATGTATTTTGAAAATGTGTATATATTAACCCATGTTAAGAAACAGAAAATGATTGAAACCATTTTGGTACCTATTACATTTGTTCTTAACATTTATTTGGAATAAGGGATTTGTTAAGGGATTAAATAATTTATGGTATTTTTGGTCAGAATCATTACATTTATATTGATAGACTAAATCATTACATTTATATTAAGAGACTAAATATCCTGCTGCATGGAGAACTGACACTGAAGTCAAAATAGGACCATGGTTAATAACTCAGGTAGATCCTTCATGATAATTAAGGATAATGAGAGTGAAATCAGAGAGTGGTGTACATTACACTTTTATGAAACTTAATTGTGAATAAAATGGGCCTTAGCTGCTATGTATATACAAACAGAATTTACAATTGTGCTGAAATATAAAGCAGGATGAATGCAGTAGAAATGCAGATTTACATGTTCCCTTATAAGTATCCTTATTTGATGTTTAAGGTTTTGGAGAAAATTGGATAAAGCAAGTCATGAAGTGATGTAAATTACTATAAGTTGTCCTTTTATGACCAACTGTGTATCTGGTAGACAAGCACGTATCATGAATCCTTTCACTTATTATTACTTAATCTTAGTAATCTCCAGTATTTGAGTTTATGCCTAACAATAGGACAGTGAGGCAGGTTCTATTGATATATTCCCTACCACACTCTTCAAGCGTTTCCTTGATTGAACTACCAGAGTTTGTACTGATACCAGTTCATCCCAATCTGACTGTAGGTAGAATATTAACATTTACTCTGTAGCTTACTTTACAAGGTTTAGGAGCCAGATTTCATCCATGTCAAGCATAAGTGTGTCAGTGAATACCTGACTGTATTTGTGGCAGGCTATACAGTCTATACCAGGGCTGTCAAACTCGATTTCATTGAGAGCTGCATCAGCATTGTGATTGCCCTAGGGGGGCCCAGGTGGGTACGGCTGGATGGGTGTGGCTGGAGAGGTGGGTGTGGCCTGCTCAATCTAGCTTTCTGTGGGGGGCACTTGTAGGGGGCTGGGCAGGGCTCTGGGGAAATCTGGAGGATTCAGCAGGTGGGTTGGATCAGGGCGGGCAGAGGGGCCTAGTCTACTGGAGGAGCCTTGCCGTCCCTCTTGGGCCACGCAGGGCCCCCCCAGATGGCTGACTGGGCCGTTTAGGGCCTTGGGCAGTGGGGGGCAGCGGCTCTCCGCTGCATCTAGTGGGTCAGATTATGTGCCTTCCCCCCTGTGTCTTTGCCTGTCTACTGCTTGATGGGCTGGCCCAGTGACCGCGGCACTCAGACCCACCTGCGCTGTGTGGGTTGTGGGATCCCAGGATGTGATGGCTAGGGGCCTGGTGGGCTGCGGCTGCTGCCAGGCATCGCTGGCCTCCATATGCTCATGGCTCCTTTACGCGTGCCCACAGAGGCGCCTAGCTAGGCTCAGGTGGGCTGGGGCAGCTGGGGCTGGTTCCTCACCATCTCCGGGGCAGCCCCCTGGGCCGGCATTGGGCCCATCGTGGGCCAGATCAGGCCTGCGGGCCTTGTGTTTGACATGTCTGATGTATACTTATAGTTGCCATTTAGCATACAGGGATCTTTAGAAACGTTTACAAGTACAGGTAGTCTAGTTAAACAATAGTAATTGGGACTGGATTTTCTGTTGCTAAGTTCATAAAGTTCTATGTGACATGACCAGATGACTTAGTGATAGCAATTGTGTCAGTTCCCATTTACACGGTTAATCAAGGATCTCATGTGATCTTCTGACTTCCTGCTAGCTTCCTCATTGAGTTTGCTTGTGAGAAGCCAGAAGGGAAGGTTGCAAATCAGGTTGCATGACCAAAATCTTGATTGGTTGCTCAATGCCGGATTGTGATTATGTGACAGTTAAAAGTTTGAGGACTAGCTATAATTATTTTTTTTAATGTCACTGCAAGTTTGAACAGTGGCTGTTAAATGAGAACCACTTGTACTTAATATTATCATCAATTGATCACTATCAAATAGACTTTAGATTCACTGGGATTGAAATGTCTGTAATGGTAGGGAATTGTTACATTCATTCATAAATGAATTGTGAATTCCTCTGTGCTCTGAGGAACATTAAAATCTGGCAGTCTTATCTCAATTTTCAAACCTGATTGATCTGTGAAAAAATGGAAATGGTGACTCTGATAGATTGGTTGAGATCCTGAGCTGAGTTTTCTTAAATTTCCAGTAAGTTTTGGGTGGTGACACTTCTTAACAAATTGTGAAGCAACAATAAAGGAACTCACCTTTGCAAAGTGAATGCAACTGAATATCAGTCAGAGACATTTTAAGATCTTTACCATATGAGGGCACTAAACAAATTCTGTAATGTTATTGTTTATATTTGGTAAAGAGAATTTTGTACACTGATGGCTGAAGAGAGAGGAAAACTTCCTGAAATGTACTGTTTTAGATTTGCCAGATACTCTATAAGAAAAGTCATTAGTATCTGCTCTGATTTAGATTTTTTTTACAGTGAAACTAATGACAATGACTGAAGTACCACTTGACATAATTTTGATGGATAAATGTATTATTTGAAAGTAAAGATAAGACAGAAATGTGGCAAGAGGACAGCTACATGTTCATTTGGTTCATGTCCACCATTACTTAGAAGAGCTGCTCACTGGAGATTATTTATAAATTGTTACTAAAAAGTTCAGAAACTGAACAAGTCAAACGTTGTATACATTAAATGGATAAAACAAGACAGTTGATATGCAAAGTGGGAATTCCAGGGGAAAATAAATATTAAATTTATGGTGGATATTACATTCAGATTTTTTAAATTGGTGTAATTACTAGTTATTGGTATAATTATATCAATGTTGATTGACAAACTAGATAATTATGTTTTAAAAGATGCTGGAATTGCAATAATGAGGCTGGCTCATTTTTTTTTAAAAAGCCATACTGAATTAAACTTAGCTTATAAGGCAATTACAGGCTATAATTCTGCACTACTATCAATATCTTTCAATGGGATAACACTCTTCCAAGTAGAATTGATACAAAGTCTGGGAGTCCAAATCCATCTTTTGTATCACTTGCATTTTGTTTCTGGATCAAACATTGTGTTCATGGTTACTCATACCTATGTCACTTCAGATCTAGATTACTGCAAGATGCTGAATATGGGGCTGTCCTTAAAATTTGAAAATTTCAACTGGCAGCACATACAATGTTAGGTGTACTGAGGCTGTGTAAGTTCCTAAGTAAATAAACATTTTTTTCTGATGAGTCTTATATTGGCTACAATTCCTAATTATTGAATATTGATTTGATTGTAATGTTTTAAAAATGTTACATTCATGTAAGAGTACCTTTAACTGAATTACTAAAATATTAATTTGAATTTTTTATTCAGTTTTATATAGCTTGTAAATCTTTTTTCTATGTTTTCCCCCATTTCTTATTTCCTTGGTACTCTTAATGTTTTCAAATATCCAGAAAATAAAAATTCTATTTTCATTTTTTTTTCCTCGGAAAGCTCCAAAATGACAGTGACACCATATCCTGGTTTTTCTTGAATAAAACAGATTATTTCAATCTGCTTCAATCTCAGCTATCTGGATATGACCTATACCAAGAACTGGACGGGTTATATGTCCTGATTTTTTTTTATTGCTGGATCTCTTAGCAGCATTTGATACAATTGAGAATGGTATCCTATCATATTATTTAACTAATGTGACAAGAATTAACATTTATGACATTTCTAGTCTTATTTGACTGAACACACTCAGATGACAGGTTACAGCTTATTGTCTTAATCTGTTTGAGATGCTTCACAATTTCTTATCTTCTGACAAATATACAAGGCTGTGTCAAAGAAAAGACATTGAGAATGTTATGGTTCAGTTGCATCAATGTGCTGGCTATATCCAGCTCTTTTTCAGCTAATGCTGCATACACAGTGGAAATATATACAAAGCCTGAATGCAGTCAGTAAAATAAGTAACTCTTTGGGTAAAACAAAAGAGTATCAGTCCAGTCAAGATAGGATTCCTCTTGAGCAGTAAACAACTTAAGAGAGGGGGTGAAGCCTATTTTTGGATATAGTAGTGCTTCCCCTGATAAGCTCAGGAAGACAGCTGGAAAATATTCTTATAAATAGTACTGCTTCAGAGGGTTATCTGGCAGAAGAATCAGTGGTAATTATTATTCAGCAATCTTGGACCTAATCTGTGAGTTTTGCAGTGGAAGGAGAATTTGTCCGGCACGACTCATTTTACTCCATAGATTTTGTTAAATTTATAAAACAGCTTTTTTCCAGGAGCTCATGATAGCATCTCACTTTATTTTGTCCATAAATAGCAACTTTGTAAATGATAAACTGAACAAGGATACAGAGCAATTGGACCACTAATACTCTAATATGAAACTGATTCCTGTCCGCTATTAATTGTCATCAGTTAATAATAAGGCACGGGGGAGGGGCATGACAGCTCAGTGATTAAAGACATTGAGCTTGTCATCTGGAAAGCTGACAGCTTCAAAACCTGAGTACTATGTGACAGGGTGAGCTGCCGTTATTTGCCCCAGCTCCTGCCCACCTAGCAG